TGATAAGTTTTATTACCAGGTCACAATCATCCATTGAGATATGAATATTGGTACAGTACTCCTGAAAATGTGCAAATGCTTGATGATATAGAGTGATAGGAATATCAGCATCATGAGGCCGATGATTGAAAATCACAGGAACAACCTCTTCCCATTTACGCGATCTACAAAAGCCTGAAGGTGGTACCTTCATATTTTCAACAAGTTTTGCTTTTTTTTCAGCTGCAGCATATGTATAATCATCCTCTACTGGACGTTTGATTCCTTTTCCCTCTAAAAGGCAAATAAATAAATAAAAGTTAATCCACATTCCTTGGATGTATGGATTTATTGCAAAATTAATCTTACCTAATTTTAAATAATAGTGTGAAAAATAAATTTAAAACAAAACAAGTGAACAAGATTGCATATATAATTAAAAATGAGATAACCAAAGAAAAAAACACAAATGGTGTTTACCTTTATTTTCTTCAACACCTTTTGTAATGTCAATAGGAAGCAGCAATAGAAAACAATGGACAGAAAAAAGAAGTACAAATTGGTTAAAGTTGTAACAGATATCTCTCAAATAAATAAATGAATAAAAATAATTTTTTTTAGATTGGTGATTTGCCTATGAATCAGTGAATGATTGACATTTTTTATAATAACTAGAATATTTATCAGCATTCAATGTATAACCCAACATTTACATTCAAGATCTTTACCTTCAAAACTTTTCAGTCTTCTTTTTAATTCTTCCACTTCCAACTCCAATTCCTTCTCTCTCCAACTCTAAAGGGGATGATTGTTTGTACAGAGAATAATTATATATAAAAATTATTTTATGCTGAATTAGTGTTTACAATATTGAATATTTTATTGAAACAAATACCCTATCGTTTTCTTTATTTTCTTCACTAATAAAAAAAAAAGTTTATAATTAACTAGAGTAATGACTAGTGGCAATGATTGCAATAACCACCAATCTTTATATATAAACTAGAGTAACGACAACAGGTGGCGGGCGATAACCAC